GTACCCACCTGTAGTCCTAGCTATTTGGGAGCTTGAGGCTGGAGGAACGCTTGAGTCCAGGAGTTTGAAGCTGCAGTGAGTTATGATCACATCACTGTACTCCAGCCTAGGCAACAGAGTGGGAGTGTCTGTCTCTTTAAAAAAAAGGAGTGTGGAGCCGGGCTCGGTGGCTCAGCCTGTAATCCCCCGCCTTTGGGAGGCTGAGGTGAGTGGATTGCCTGAGCCTGCGGGTTCAAGACTCGCCTGGGCAGCGAGACCTCATCTCTACAATAAATCAAAAAATTAGCCGGGCGTGGTAGCATGTGCCTGTAATTCCGGCTACTCGAAAGGCTAATGTGGAAGGATTGCCAGAGCCCAGTAGGTCGAGGCTGCGGTGGCCAGGAGCGGCCACTGCACTCCAGTCTGGTCGACAGTGTGAGACTCCAACTCAAAAAAAAAAAAAAGGAGTGTGGGAAGAGTGAAGGGAGGGCTCATGAGCATCATTTTTTTTTTTCCTTTTTCCATTTTCCATTGGGTCAAACTGTTAAAAGACAGGGCTTAACACCAGCACCTTCCTGAGAACTAGAGACTTTTGCAGCAGGTGGTGCCCACCTCTGCCTCCAGAATTCCAGCCCAAACAATCTGCCCAGAATTGCCGAGAAATCAGGAGAATGTGCTGATGACTCAGTCTGTTACGTAGGAGGACTGCTATTGTTATTCCAACTCCTGCCAGGGTATGTGGGCAATCCTCCCTCTTTCTGTCTCCAGTTAACCATAAGAGATCACTCTTCGAAACCTCCCTCCTGGAATAATAGGATCCTGGTCAATAAAAGTCAAAATAGCTTGGTGTCTGGGTATGACTGCCAGCTGATAGTACAGAGTAGGATAGACTTCATAAAGGGAGCAACTGATTTCCTAATTTGCCAATATAATTTATTTTTAGATTGCTTAATCTGCCTTTAAAATTATTCACACAGAGCCATGAAATGGAGCTAAGTTAGGTAGTAATCAGTGCAAGTGATGGTACTTATTTTCAGAGAGAGTGGTGAAATACCACTTTTCCTAAAGTGTTGGGGTATTGTAGTTCTACTGTTTATCTTTCTCTTACCAAATGTTCTCAACAATATAAATACTCATCAAGTGCAACCCCTAAGAATACTGCAAAAATAAAACAAAAAAGAACCAACCCATTTTATAAAAAATTGTCTTGAATAAATGTCACCCATTCATGAATGATAAAAAGATATAAACCTATTCTGAAGATATAAGTAAAATCTAAGCAGTGCTGGATGTGGCAAATCTTATTATGATTTAATTAGAAGACTTCAAGGAATAATACATATTTTCTGCTCTTCAAATGGTTTTCTCATGTTCGTCCAGCTATTTTGTCTCTAATTTGTCTACGCGAGTTTTTCTTTTCTTTTGGAACTACAAATTAAGATTTGAAATTGTCAACAAAATAAAGTTTTCTTAGAATGCTGTAACATCATGCGTCCAACATATGAAAGTGCTTTAGAACTGCAGAGGTGATGGGCTCTATAAGACAAACCAAATAAATCCTGAGAAGGGTAACACCATCACTGATGTGCATTAAGGACACTGTGTACACAGTAACCCTCAAATATCTACTCATCCCTTCAATAAGTGAGAATCCACCAAGACAGGTGGCAGGCAGATCCAAATGCTGGTGACAGAGCTCTGAACATCACAAAGTCTCTGCGCATCATGAGAAAAGATGATGTCGAGATGATGTCAGGGAGGGAGAGGGTGCCCACTTAGCATGTTGTGGGCCAGCAGTAGATTTTCTGAACAGAAGAGTCAGATTAACTGATAAAGAATTTTTAAAACGATCACTCTGACTTCTATGTGAATAGCAGAATAAAGAAGAGGGAGATTGATCGCAGGAGGCTACTGTAGTAGTAAAACTGAGATACTATGGATTTGCATAATGTATGTAGAGACGATGGGACTTGATGAGATTCTGCACATGCATGAGCTGAGCTTGTGCTGTAATGACCTAGGAGGTGGTTAAATGTGCCCCTGACAGGTAGTGAAGGCTGGAAACAAACCGATTTTCAGAGCTGTTAACCACTGCATTGTAATAAATAAAGGGAGGTTTTGTGCAAAAGAAAGGAAAAATTGCTGTTCTATATGAATTAGCAAGACTTAAATTCAGACATATATCAACGTTTACTTTTAGAAGGACATGTATTCGGCTGGACATGTTCAATTCTAAATTCACAGAATGCAGGCCTTAGTAATAGCAGCACACAGTTGCAAAGGCCTTTGTCATTTACAAAGCATTCTCACTCTCATAAGTCCATTCAGTTTAATCTAATTGGCACAGTTGGGTGCTTTTAAAGGTTACTGCTTGGAAAACAATGTTAAGATAACTTAGCAAAATAAAAATATCTAAATGGTCACATCTGTAGTATCAGAAAACGTATCTTTGTGTGTTTTTAATAGCCTGTTTTCTCATCTTAGGTAGATGTGTCTTCTGTGTTTTCCCAACATCAGTCCTCAACTCACATAAAAGGATCCCAATAAATATTAGTGGAATGAATAAAATCTATCCAACAGATTAGGTTTTTCTAATTTATTTTCTAATAGGCAGAATAGCTTTGGAGTCTGGCAGAGATAAGTTTGAATCCATGCTCTGTAATCACTATATGATCTCTAGTAAGTCATCCAATGTATTTGGGACTTCTTTTCTTTTCTTTTTTTGAGTTGGAGTCTCACTCTGTCACCCAGACTGGAGTGCAGTGGCCGCTCCCGGCCACCGCAGCCTCGACCTGCTGGGCTCTGGCGATCCTTCCGCTTCAGCCTTCCAAGTAGCTGGAACTACAGGCGCGCGCTAACATGCCCGGCTAATTTTTGATTTATTGTAGAGATGAGGTCTCGCCAAGTTGCCCAGGCGGGTCTCGAACGCGCGGCCTCAGGCAATCCACTCACCTCAGCCTCCAAAAGCGGGATTACAGGCTGAGCCACTGAGCCGGCTAGGGCTTATTTTCCTCATATGCAAAATGGTAACGCACTTCTGACCAAAGACATTTATGCAAAGTCTCATATTTACTCATATTTGCCCAGAAAGGTTAGTTTCCTCTTCTCCCTCATTTAACTTTGACCAAATAGTAATTTACTCTCTAAAAAATAAAACTGGAAAGAGTCTATGTCTACCAATCTTACAATTGTAGGTTGACATTTCTCTTGCCTTAAACAAATTCTAGAATTAATTAAAGTTTTAGAAAAAACTGAAAAAAAATCTTTTCTAATTTTCTCCATGATTTTCTAGGAGAGTATGAGCAATTAACATGGGCCACTCAAAAGTATTTTACTTTTAAATATCTTGAATTTCAAAAGTAGTAATTTATACTATGTTTGGGAATAGTTAGCATTTTGTCTATGGGGAGATAAAATGGATTTTAATTATTATGTTATCGCGAAATTGTGAAAATCATGTGTCCCATTAGATTAGTAAGATCTTTACAAGCTAATTGGAAAAAAAAAAAAACATATGCAGAATTAGAATGACATTATATATTAAAAACTTTGGATTCCTCGTACACAAATCCCAAATAGGGTTTGCAAGCCACACAAACCATTTTAGCATGAACTCTTTAAAATGTTGAATTTTATTTAGAAAGAATGATTAATAATACTAAGTGTCAGAAGATTAAAACACTAAAATGAGTCAATTTTATGTTAGAATGTGCAACCAGATCTCCATGTATCCATATGAATAAATCTCCACATAGAACACTGGGTAAAGGCAAGCCACAAAAGAAAATCCATAATATGATGCTACTTATGTAAACTTTTACAATGGAAATAATTGCAGAACATTGTTTCACACACATGTCACAGAAGCCATAGAACACACATAGAAAGGTTATATCATTTTTAGAATTGTGATACCTTTTAGAAAGAAAGTGAAAAGGTTGCAGGAAGCGTTTTTATCCTTTCTGTGATGGTATATTTCTTTACAAAAAAAATTTAATGTAACTGAATGACAGCATTTGTTTAACCTGCGTGGTGAATACCTGGATATTTACTATAATTTTTTATGTTACTTGAAACATTTTGTAAATTTTCTTGCTTAAAAATAAAATAATACAGAAATAATAAAAGCAAAAAAGTGAATGCTGCTGTGGCCATTTTAAGATTGCATATTCAGTACTTCCAATAAAAACAAATGAAATTAAAATGCATTTCTCAGAATTTCCTAGCATAAGAAATCATTCATTTATAACCCTTTGATAATTTTATCCTTCTTTCATCATAGGAATGTGTTTGAAAAAGATATAAAATAAAGGAAAACACTGTTGATGCAGGTAGCTGAGATAAAGTGTATATATTCCTTTATTTACTTATGCAACACTTGTTTAAGTAACATGTGCAAACATAAAAGAAAAGTTTACCTGCTTATACATTTACTGCTCTTTCAGTAGATGCACTGTATTTTTTTCACCCAATAATTCAGAAGCAGCCTACTCAAAATGTTAGAAAGTCTGATCACCAGATATTTTAGGATGAAACCACTCTCCCAATAACAGCTGAGGCTAGTATTCTTTCCAGTGCCTGCTCCTAGACTCATGTATAGAACCTTGGGTGAACCCCTCCATCCACCTGGCTTTACTCTCTGCCTCTTGCTCCTAATCAGTTAAATGGAGATGAACCCTGTACTACCCTCATGGAGATGTTATAAGGAATGAATGAATTAATTTATGTAAATTAGGTCATGCAAGAATTGCTGAGGAAGTATTATTGGTAATGTTACCACAGCAGGAGAGAAAGGTTTAGTTCAAACCTGACTTCATTCTCTTAATCAACCCCAATACTATGAAGTGCTATTTTAATAATGCTATATCTATCAGCTGTAGAATTAATAAGCGTATTTTCTCCATTACCAAAATAAATTGTTACTTATTTAAATATTTAATAAAAAAGCATGGTAAGCAAAGAGTTATTTTTCACAATTTTGAGTAATTCTTTCATAGCAGAGAGAGTAGGAACTTACCTACTCAAGGAAGTGGTAAAATAATAAAGTTCGTTGTGTTGTGTTCTCAAAAGGATGACAATATTTTCTGGCTTCTTTCTGTGAACAACAACAAAAAAAATAGCAAATTAATAATTTAATCTCTGTTTCTTGTGCATAAATCACTCCATGTAGCTCAGGACAAAATTCAACGTTTAACTGTCTCTTTTTCACACTGGGTAACTATGAGTCTACAGCATGGACGTCATGACGGTTCACTATATTCCACATACACTGAGCATTTACAACTGGCTGGGTGCTACCGCAGATGGAATAGAGCAGAGATATGCCAACTGTTGTAAGCTTTTTCTTACTTTTTAATTCACTCCAATGAAGCTACATAAGCATCATATCCAAGGCAAAATGAATGTTTAAATTGTCTTCAGCTAATAAATAGCAGGCAATCATACTCTCTTCCAAGAAAATACATTTGTCCCGGCAAATTGTTAATTACACCCAGTAATCTTTAAAGGACTGGGCCTCTAGCCCAGTCTGCATTGATTCTTTCCAGCACAGGATGAAGAAGAATTTTTTAACAACTAATTAAGTTTAGTGCTCTATAGAGAAAATTTATTTTGACATTCAGAATATTAAAAGTCACTCTGGATTAGTAGTTCTGCTTAGAAATTCCACCTAGGACAACACAGAATATTTCTTACTGAAGTGGTTCCTAGAAATAAAAAGAATTACTAAAGGCACTAGGCTTGCTTTCTACCTCATAAGCCTGATTCAGTTGTCATCATCCTCATCTGTAGGGAAGACTTCAAAGAATGCACAGCACATAAGGGACTGTAGAGCTGAGGGCCGTTTTGAAGTCCAGCTGTCTTACACTGGGGTCTCTAAGTCTACCTATCTTCACATGTTTTGCTAGGGTCAGCACGATTTTACCCCTGGTAGAGGGGACCTCTTCATAGCTGCAAAGAAGATGTTGCATTACAGACTCAGTTCTCCTCTGTAAACCTTGAAAGTGTAATGTATATATGAATACGGGCAGACAGGAGTTTGATTCCAAAGCAACAAATACTGACTGGGCCAGGTCCTGTACGAAGGGTTTTTACATGGATTAGCTCATTTAATCTGTGAGCATTTACATATAATGCATAGCAGCAAACAAGAATATTAATGAATAATAAAGTTAGAAAGGCTTAACATTTCAATAAGTGTAAAGAAAAATTTGCAGGCAAAAAGAAGCAAAATAAAATTTTCCATTTCCTGTAACAATGTGATTAACTGTTTTAGAAAGAACAGTTTGACCAAATCTTTGCACACAGTTTTTTCTTCTTTTGGTTCAGCTTAGTGGTTCTCAGATTTGGAATACATATAACATTAACATACAGAATTGTTTATACAGTCAGTTAAGACTATTTAAGGTTTTTTTAAGAAGGGTTTTGGTTATAAGCAAATTAAATTTTCTAAGGATGATTTTAGAACAAAATTAAAATGGTAGACCAGCTCTGGATCCTGTCCAGATAGAGTCTTTGAGTATTTAACAAATGAATTTGAATAAAATACTATGCTTTATTTTCTCATGAAATTTTATGTTTTTCTGACATCCTTATAGGTGCATATTTTTTGTGCCTCACCTTCATGGTTTTTAAATAACCATACATGCATGCAAGTGTGCAAGTACACATTATATATGTATGTGAGTCTTCTAACCTAGCAAAAATAAGGAAAAAAAGAAATTCCAGAGAATAAGAATCAGCAAACTATGGTCCATGGGCCAAATCTACTCTGCTGCTGCCTGTTTTTCTAAATACTGTTATTGGCCCATGGCCACACCCACTCACTTCCGCATTGTCTCTGGCTGCCTTTATGCTGTAACGAATAGTTGTGACAGAGATTGTACAGCCTGCAAAGCTCAGAACATTTACTATCTTGTCCTCTACAGAAAAAGTGTGTTAACATATCTGATACCAGAGTATGCTCATCATTTGATAAATATTAAAAACGGTACTAAAAAAAAAATCTCCTGTCTTATTTTTAGCCTTTCCGGATATTAACTCAGTACTTACATATGAATGAAAGTGAAATTCCAGCCCTAAACACTTAAAAGTTAATTTCATCCCAAAAGAATTGGGAAATTATTGGCCCAAGGATGAGATGATTATTAAAAAAAATTCAGGGTTCCCTGTACCTACTGTCATCAAATGAATGCCCCACTTACCCATAATCTTGACTTTTGTGGGATTTTGTTTGTGGCAAAAATGAAAATGACTGTTTTTTCCTAGCCTTTTTTATGAGAAAGAGATAAGTACCATCTGGAATTTATTTTTTAAAAGCAACTTATGGCCTATTCCACAAGGCACATAAAAATTGAATAGACATTTTAAATTGGCACAGGGTAGTTAGATGTAATGATACGTATTCCGTATGGAAACAGATGAATGAATGTCCATATCAAAAGAATTAAATTACTTTAACACAATTTTTGTTTTACTGTTATCGACACAGTTTGAGTATTAGGTATATTATACAGAGTGTCTGCAACATGCCTAAAATAATATTAGCAAACTTTTAGACAGCATGTATTGTGTATCAGACAATGGTGTGAGCACTTTATGTATATAAGTCATTAATTCCTCACTATCACCCTCTAACTATTATCCCCATTTTACAGAAGAAAACAGTTCAGGAGAGTTTAAGTGTCCTGTCTAGTATCACACAGCTAGAAAGTGGCCAAACTTTTTTTTGTTTTTTGAGTTGGAGTCCCACTCTGTCACCCAGACTGGAGCGCAGTGGCCGCTCCCGGCCACCACAGCCTCGACCTGCTGGGCTCCGGCCATCCTTCCGCCTCAGCATTCCAAGGAGCTGGATCTACAGGCGTGCGCTACCACACCCGGCTAATTTTTTGATGTACTGTAGAGATGAGGTCTCACCAAGTTGCCCAGGCAGGTCTCAAACCCACGGGCTCAGGCAATCCACTCACCTCAGCCTCCCAAAGCGCGGGATTACAGCCTGAGCCACCGAGCCCGGCCGAAAGACAATTTCAAGCATAATGGCTTGTGACTCCTTGGAGAAGCAATAGCGTACTGATGGCAACTTTCAATTTCCTAGAAATACTTTCAAAGCACATTTATTATCCATCATCTCCAGCTTCATGAATGCATTGAAATTTACTCAGCCACAGTTCTTCCTCTCATTTTCTCCACTCCACTATTTCTACCAGGTGTGCTTAGGCCACTTTCCAGAAACTCTGAGCTAGGTATGAACATTGCTGAGAACCATGATTTCCAACGTCTGGCCAAGGCAACTCGTTAACAACCACATTTAAGAGCCAGGCTTCGGAGGGGGCCCCCGCGGCTGGCCAGGTGGCCACGTCCCAGAACCTGTGAACCACGCTCACATTCGGCGGTTTCATCTCCCTGGTCGGAGCCACCTTCTACTGCATCTACCTCCAGCCCCTCATGAAAGAACAAGTCATAAATCAGGCTGGAGTTGTTCAAGAAGACGTGCAGCCACCAGGGTTAAAAGTCTGGTCCAAGCTGGGCTCGGTGGCTCAGCCTGTAATCCCGCGCCTTTGGGAGGCTGAGGTGAGTGGAATGCCTGAGCCCGCGGGTTCGAGACCCGCCTGGGCAGCGAGACCTCATCTCTACAATAAATCAAAAAATCAGCCGGGCGTGGTGGCGCATGCCTGTATTTCCGGCTACTTGGAAGGCTGAGGTGGAAGGATCGCCGGAGCCCAGCAGGTCGAGGCTGCGGTGGCCGGAAGCGGCCACTGCACTCCAGTCTGGGTGACAGAGTGAGACTTCCACTCAAAAAAAAAAAAAAGTCTGGTCCGACCCCTTTGGCAGGAAATGAGAAGGCTGTGACCATCACCGAGTAGGAAAGTTTTTCTTGTGGTTTTGATTCTGCATGAAGTACAGTCGGACACCTCATCCTCACACAGTGACTGGAGAAGAAAGCCCTGTAATGCCGTAACTACGAATTCTTGTCAACAAAGACCGCCCAAGGATTAATATTTCGCTGCTCAAGTACCAAAAGAACTCTGGAACAGATGGTACCATTAGGAAGATTTTTCTGATTCAGTCAATTTTCCAAGAATGAAGCTGTCTTGTCCAGCTGTATTTGGAGGCGGCCTGCTTATGAATATGTTATGGCCACATACCCAAGTGAGCTGTGGTGTGAAAAAAAAAAAAAAGCAGCCAGTGGATTTGAGAAGGTCCAAGCACATTATACTACCTTCCAAATCAGAGATTCCAGTAAAAAGCTTCCATGCTGAGCTGCCTCTAGGGCTCTTTGCAAATACTCCAGCAGATAAAGCTCTTTGAGGACAAGGGACTTGGTGATGCTGAAAAATAAAACAGTTCGACGTAACTATCTATTGTTGAAGATTCCAGGTTGGAAAATAAATAAAAATGAAGCAAGTCAAGCTAGATGAGAGAAATCAAGGAGGAATTAACAGAAGTGAAAACGTGTGTATTAAAATGATTTATTTTAACTTAAAAAAAAGAAAGAGCCGAGCTCGGTGGCTCAGCCTGTAATCCCGCGCCTTGGGAGGCTGAGGTGAGTGGATTGCCTGAGCCCGTGGGTTCGAGACCCGCCTGGGCAACTTGGTGAGACCTCATCTCTACAATAAATCAAAAAATTGGTGGTAGCGCACGCCTATAGTTCCAGCTACTTGGAAGGCGGAGGCAGAAGCGGAAGGATCGCCGGAGCCCAGCAGGTCGAGGCTGGGCGACAGAGTGAGACTCCAACTCAAAAAAAAAAAAAGAGCTAGGCTACAAAAGACAGGATAAAATGTATGTTGCCTGTTGGCGTCACAGAGTAAGTTGAGTAAATCCTTTAACAAGGAACCCAAGATAAACAAACACTCTCCCAGGTAAAAATGCAAGTAGCAGATTACTCAAACAGGATATACATGCAATACACTGAGGCTGCATGTATGTTTGGCTGTTGGCATATTTATGTGTAGGTTATGTGCCATCTGTAGCTCTGAAATTGATACATTCATGCAGACTAAGAATCTCATGGAGGAAAGTCTGCCAACGTGTGGTTTTCTCCACTCATGTAAAAAACACATTTCATTAAACAACAAAGTCATCAAGATAAAATAATCT